CATGAAATTTTAATGAAAGGAAATTTTGATAGAAAATTTTATTAATATATTGAAAGATATTTTTGAAAATAAATAATTTTTTTATAAAAATTAGATTTTGAGTCTTCAATTATGAAATTACTAATAATATTGCAAATAGTAATTTTTATATAAATTCTTAGATAATTTTTTTTAATTTTATTAATATATTAAAGAATTTAGATAAGAATTTTTAACATCAAAATTTTAAATCCATTTGATGGTGAATAAAAGTTTTTTTTTTTAAATTAAATCAATTTGATGATGGAGTTTCTTAAATTATTATCAATATTTTAAAATAATTTAAAATAAATTTTAATAATTAATTATTTGATAAAATTTTTAATGCATTTAGATAATACAAAATTAAATTGTTACTATCCATTGGATAGACATTGTAGAGTTTGGTGCTATAACTTAAGTGTAATTGTATTTTCGATGGCAATTTTGATATCATAGATTAAAATATATTTTTTAAAGTTACTTGAATTTGAGATTTAATTAATTTATAATAGAGAATTGTGAAATATTTTCTCTCTCTTTTGCTCGGAAAGAGTAGGAAACTTTTAAGCAAATAGCAACCATGGGCTTATTTACAGCTAAGATAGTAGATATCATGCATGGTCAAATTAGAATATTTTTCGACTTCACCTAATGCAGTGTTTGAATTATGTACACCACCGGCTCCGAGTCTTATCTCCATTACTGTTGCTAGTCTCTATTGAAATGGATTAGAAACGATTAAAAGATATTTTCGGTATCGAATCCGAGGCTGGTACGAAGAAATTGCCGGTGGGTCCTTATGTTGCTTCACGAAAATCAATCTTTTAGCTGTACTCGGGAAAAGGCCCATTTCATTTCCATTCAATATTTAAATTGGTCGGAACCTCAGTTTTGCTTTCTCTTTCTTTGAATCAAATTAGTGGCTCTTTTTGTTTCAGAAACGAGTTTAAACTTTTTTTTTTTTGGGTAAAAAAATTTTAAGATAAATAAATTATTTAATTTTTTATATTAAGATAAGATATATTATATTTGATAATATAAAATAAATAATTATAAGTCGTACATTCGAAATGACTTTAATAAATGATCATCGATAGAACTCGAACTTAAAATTTTTTCGTAAAAAAAAAAAACGATCATAACTGATTGAACCAATTACTTATTGATGAGTTTAAACTTTTTTTTCTTACTCCCGTAGAAAAAGTCTAATATTTAAGTTGAGAACTTCTAACTTTGGGTTTGAAAACATACATTTAAATCTAGCATTATGTTTGCTCATATATTGCTATTTTCTTTTTCTCTTGACTTTATGTTTGATTTTAACATTACCCTTTTTTCTTAACAAAATTGAGATAGAGAATGTTGACACTTAGCAAGTGTTTCAACTTCTGTCTCAATGTGTTTTAATCATCTTTATTTATAGAGAATTAATTCAAGCGTCATATCTTTTTAATTGAATTGTCGTATTCAATAATTATGTTATTTAAACAAGAACACAATCTCTTTAAATAATCAAAGCTACCCTTTTACAATTGACAATCTCTTAATGAAATCAAAGATACCCTTTTACAAGTGATAATCTCTTAATGAAGGATCATGGTTTTATTGAACAGAAATTTAGTATTTCATCTGAAAGATATAGCTTTTCGTCTAGGGCAGTCAGCTGTCCCTTAAGGTCAGCCGACTGCTCCTTTGTAAAATCCAATTCCAAAATGCTTCGAACAATAGGACAATTGATAGCTATTTTAGGACGGTCGATTTCTCTAAATTCCAAAATGGTTTGCGAGACAAGACAGTAAACTTCTACCATTGATAGTCGACTCCGTTCTTATTTTAAAACGTTTCCAACACAAGGGCAATCTATTTCTTGCTAAAAACTGTTCACTACCTTTGTTAAATTTCGGAACCAAAGACTTTCTCAATCATAGCAGTCGATTCCACTTAGGTTAAGAAATCGACTGGCTTTATTTCTAATTATAGCAGTCGATTCCATTAAGTATAACAATCAACTGCTTCTCCTGATAAGGTTTATTATTTGTCTTTTTCAAGCTAATCAATAACTTGATCAAGTTATTTTTTTATTTGATTTTTTTTTTAATTTTGAAAATATTTTTATTATTATAAAATATTTAAAACAATAAAAAGATTGAATTCAAAATTAAATATTTTATAAAGGCATTAAATTTAGCGACAATAACTCAAATTTAATTAACTAGTACAAGAGCTTGAGCGAAAGAAAGATGAAGTGTTACAATTTTTTTCTCGTTATGATGTTTCGACGTCGACGTTTTGAAAAGACCATCAAACTAATGAGATGAACGTGTTAAATTTATATGCATATTTTTGCCCACTTTGTTTGTAATAATTATAGAACTAGTGGTGGTGATAAGGATTCTTCCGAAAAAATGAGCTGATACACATATAAGTTCACATTTAGTCTCAAAATTCATTTATTAATCGTCATACTTAAGCTTGTTTTAATTGATACGAAATTTAAGTCAATTATTCCTATGATTATAATTTTAAAAAAAATAATATATAACTTGAAATTTAAGTTCCAACCCTTTTATTTTTCTTTCTAATTATCAAATTACTAAACAAAAACGTGTTCACATAAACCATAATAAGTAACAAGTTTAAAGTTGGTCAACATTTTAATTCCTTTAGTGATGGAGCCATTATGAAACCCACATCTAACTTATTATGATATAGTATTTATTTTGATTCGAAGATTTCATAATTTTATCTCATAAGAGATGTTTCATAAATTTAAGTTTAAGTCTTTATATATATATTATAGTAAATCTTCAAAGTATTTCGATTTGAGATTTGAACGTTATAAACTCTTTTCATTAAAATTTGACGTTCTTATTAAATCTAACATAAAACATTTATATTTATTGAATCACATCAAACGTTGAGTAAGTTCAACACAAAATACAAATAGATTATAAGATCACATCAAATGTCAAAACATACATAGATCATAAGATTACATTAAATGTTCGTGTAGCACTTAACTCTTACAAAATTTTAGAGATGGCTCTTACGGTATAAGATTTAGTTCTCGTCCAACTAGTAATCACTCTAATATCAGCTCTTACAAGATTCTAAAGATAACTCTTATGTTGTAATATTTAACTCTCGTCCGACTGATTTTGCTTTAATATAATTTGTGAAGATTCATACTTAACCTGTGAGGTATTATCTGTTTTCATTTGAAAATTTTACAGTTTTATACCACAAAAAATATTTTACAAATTTGAATTTAAACATTTACATATATATTATAGTAGATTCTCGAAACATCTCAATGTGAGATTTGATCATTATAATTTTTTTTATTTAAAAAAAATTAATAAAAATTCATACTTAATTTATAAAATATTATTTATTTTAATATAAAATTTTTATTATTTATTTTATAAAAAAACCATCTTATAAATTTAAATTTAAATTTAAATATATATCATAATAGAGCAAAAGTATTTTTATTAGGACATTACAGTGGCGACACTTGCTTACCCTTGGTAATGATTAAAGCAGGCGATGGAAGCATGCGCCACATCTGTATTAGTAGTAGTTAATCCTAAAATTTTGTGCTTAAATTTGCATATCGGCTTTCTCATTAGACAGTCATGTTTTTGTAGTTTTTGAAAAATTAGGGAAAAGAAAACAACAGTTATCATGTGCAGGCCGAGGCTAAGCTGTCAAGTAGGTCCCATGAATCACATCAAAATCTCTTTTTTTTCAGGTTCCCTTTGCTTTTTGCTTTTTGGTGAGCCAACCAACTAAAAAAGTTGGAGAAAAAAAGATTAAGATTATTTTTTAAAGTATATATAAAATATATTAATTAATTAGATAATACCGGCCCCTGACAAATATTAAAAGGAATAATTTAATTAATAAAAATTAATCCATGAATATCTACAAATAAATTCTATACAAAAAATAGTGGGCATAGAAAGCAGGGTACAAACCAACTTATAATTTTTCTTCCACTAAAGCAGCAGCCAAAGAACAGTCTTTGGCTGCTCTAAAATGTTCTATACATGAACCTTCACATACTTTTATAAGTACAATTTTCAGCAAACAAAATGATTTAGATTAGCAAGAAAATTAAACCAAATAAACATGGAATATGGGCTATGGGATTCTCTAATATTAATACTTGAATTTGGTACAACAATGTAGGTAGATTTTTTTTTTTAAGTTTTAAAAACAGTAGTTATTTAGGTAATTTTTTAATGTAGAATTGAATAGTCTTTTTTTTTTTTGTAAATAAAAATATATGTTTAAAAAATTTAAAAGGACTTAAATGTCTTTTACTTCATATTTATATTGATTTTAAAATATGTGATTGAATTTGATATTATGAGTCAAGCAACAAGCCAACAACATCTCAATTTGAGAAATTACTTAAAACTCAAATCAAAATTATAATAACAAAATGAAATTAAAGGTATTTAATTTTTTCAACTTTTAAAATAAAATAAAAATTATTTTTCTGCTCAATAAATTTTTTACCCATATGCATTTAAAAAAACTATCCACTGATTTGAAATTTTTAAATATAATTTTTATTTTCTTTTCACCCACTATGGTTGCTTTATTCCACTCATTTGAATTTTTTTAAATATAATTTTTATTTTCTTTTCACCCACTATGGTTGTGTCAAATCTAATTTTATTATAATATTTTAAGATATTTTTTTATTAAGTTGATGTCAATTGATTAGTATATCAATTCATAAGATATTTTAATATTAATATAAATTAATCATTAATAATTTTAATTATCAAGTGGACAGAAAGTGGAATTTAATTGTTGAACTTGCAAAAAAAGAAAAAGGGAAGAAAAACAACTAGTAGCAATTAAATTTAGCAAGAAAATTGCAAAAAAAGAATTAATTTGTGGGAATCTCATAACCTAAATTAAATTAGCAAGTGAAATATGGTTTTGGGACTTTTCTCTAATTGGCTACGCTTTTGACTTTTTCAATTATTAAAGCAAGGCCCCCCCTTGCCATTCAAGAGAGACTGCGTTGTCCGAACATAGAAGCGTTAGCCTATCATTGATCATCATCAGTGGCTACTCCCGAAACCCTAATCACCGATAGATTCGACCCAGATGAAGTAGGACTCACAATCATGAAATGTCAGCGGTTGAAAATCATCACAGGCATGTGAGAGAATTCCTGTGACTGTTAAAACGTTTTTTTTGGCTTGAAGCGAGGAGAGTCGAGAACTTTAAAACTTCACTGTCTTAAAGAGTGTCATTAGCTCATGGGCGACCGAAGACCCTGATACTTGATATCGTTCACCAGGCTTGGAGAGGGATGGGCCCGTTGACGGGTCTTTTTTCCGGTTTTGTTTTATCTTTATTTTGATTAAGTCTTTATTTTTGGCTTTGTTTTATCTTTATTTTGATTAAGTCTAAAATAAAAAATATAAGAACTTTTCTTGCTTTTCTCTCGCTGTATTTTCTTCTTTGCCAAGACTTTCATTGTTAAAAAAAAAAAAAACTTTTTCGGCAAATTTTTATTTTCCTGGTTTAAAGATTTTCTTTTTTTTCTTCTTGGGTTTCTGGTTTTCTTGCTTGCCTTGTCTTGAAGGGCTCTAAAAGCTGAAGGTTCTAATTGGCAGTCAATTTTTTTTGGTGGGTTATTGAAGGAGTTTTCATTTTTCTGGTGTTTCTTACCTTTTCAAGGTTCTTTTTTTAACAATATATTCATCTATGTCTGTCGAAATGATTTTTTGAGTTTTGGGATCATCAGCAAGCGCAAGAAACTGTTTTTTTTTTTTTTTTTTGAGCAAGATGATTATGCAATCAGCTTGGTCATCTTTAAAGCTTTTTTTGAACTACTGTTTCCTTTTCACTTTGCTCATCTATGGTAGAGCTGCAAGACAATTCTTTTGATGCCTTGAATTCAACTTTGGAGTAAAAAAAAAAAAATAACTTTGTATTGTGGGGGTTTAGGTTGCTTTTTAAATTGGTTTCTGCAAGTGGAAGTCTCTGTTTCTCTGGTGGCTACAATGATATCTTCGCTGAAGTGCTTACTTATATAAGTCGCCAAGTATTTGGTTGTGATTATTTTGCTTAATAAAGAGTCTCTGCCTCTGGTTGTGGTTATTTTGCTTAATAAAGAGTCTTTGCCTCTGGTGGTTCAACTTCTGTATATTTGGTGTTGTTCTAGAGCTTCAAAAATACATATACAAAAAAAGGAGCTTCTCTTCATCATTGCTCTGGTTTCCACAGGTGAGTTTTCTCTTACTTTCCCTTCCCTAATCTGTATCCCAATTCCCATAATTGTTTATCTTGATTAAGTCCAAAATTAAAATTTTAAATAAAATCTCAAATCCTAATAAAAGAAATATTCAAAAGCGTGCTTGATGTTCTTATGTTTATCATAACTAAGCATACTGATATATATAATTACATATATGTTTTTATTTATTTATTATTTATTTTTTGACGGGGGTGGTTAGGGGTGGGATGGGAGGGGGAGGCGGGGTACAAAGGCCTGATTGATATGTTTTGTATATCTTTCTTCGTTGACTGAAGTTTCACCACAAAGTCTATGAGCGAAAGGTGCATAGTTAATGACAACCATAAAGCTACACATAGAAATGTTAGCAGAGCCAATATAGAAACCCTTGTTCATCTTTTTTTGCTTAATAGATGTCTGGAAAGTCTGAGAACTTTATTATTGTGATTAGCTTCTAGCTGCTTCTTGTGCTGCTTTGCTGTTTCTGATCTGTTTAACTACTTGACTTGTGTTATGTTTCTTTAGTCAGGATACTATCTGTTGAATGGGGACTGATGCTGCTGAAGTAGTGGAAACTCCATCCTATCCTAGTTCCTTTAAGGTACAATTACTGAGTGTGGTTCTCTTTTTCTGTTTCAACATGGAATTTTTGGATTTAAGTAATTCTACTTGGTCCGCAGCCTATGTATTTTAAAAGTATATATATTTCAAGTAAATAAATCTTTGCAGTTCATACTATGACTGTACAGTTTGATTGTTACCGAGTAAATTGATATATATTTGCTGGAATCATTCAAATTTTCTTGAGTTTTGGCTTATATATAAAAAGGATCATATCATCATACCCATGTCTGCTTTAAGGTGTTTGATATACGTCCAACATGGGTAAGCTTTACTTATGCACCGCTGAAACTATTTATGCACAATATAAATTCTAATTATTTATAAGGAAAATGTAATATATATTCTCCTTTATGATGCCATCAATATTTAATGGCTGAGCTAAACTAGAAAGTGTTAAAAAGTATGAGAAAATCTTCTTTGTCTTTGTTCAAGAAAGTAGTATGGATCTCTGTTTTTCTGTAACAAAATTTTAAGGTTTTCTTTGAACTTAGAATTGGGGGGTAGTGCATGTATCTGTCAGAGGAAAGATAAATGACATAGTCTGCCTTCACAATTATTGAACAAATTCAAATTTGAGCCGACTTTCCTTTTTGAATATTTTAAAGACCACAATTTTCTCATAAATAATATTGATAATTGTAGGTGCATCACATGATGTGCACAGAACTTAGGAAGCTGGTTGATAGAATTATAAGGATATTTCCAGAAATTGAAGCTGCTCGACCTAGATGCTCCTCAGGAATAAAGGCACTATGCTCACTGAACAGTGCAATTGAGAGAGCAAAGCTACTTCTTCAGTACTGCAGCGAGTCCAGTAAACTCTATCTGGTATGTTTTTGTTTAAATACTTAATTTTGTGGTTATTATTGCCTTACTGATTATGAAGGGCAAGTTTTATCATGATTTTCATTTTTATTAAAATGATGGTTATGAGTTTATGACCTGTCTGTTGCAAGGTCAGTTCTTATAACAATCTGATGATATGTACTCTTCCAAAGACTTTAACTTTTCATTACTGTCATCTTTGGTAGATATAGGTCCTCCATGGGATGTCTTGCTGGTGTTTGTGAGCTTAAATAGAAAACTTCTTTTTTCTTTGTTTTATCACTCATTTGATTGATCAAGTTATACCTTTTGGTTGATAGTTCTCTCCAATTACTTTCAGGCAATAACGGCAGATGTGATAGTTTCAAGATTTCAAAAATCGAAGAACTTGTTGGAACAAGGTTTATGCCAAATACAGACTATGGTTCCAGTTATGCTGGCTGTTGAGGTTTGTTAAGTTACACGTCTTATTAATCTTTCTGTTCACCCTTCTTTGTTGCAAACAATTTCTTGTATTTTCCTTTTCTATTGTCCCAACCAAATGGCTGGAAGATGATGGATCAAATCTCATGTGTTTTAAATAGCTTGTCTTTTATCTTTGGCAATTTTAGCAATGCACCTACTGAACTGGTATTATGCATGTTTAATCTCTGATACACGGGAACTGTTCTTAGTACAGTGATTGAGGATTGTCAACGTTGCCAAAATATCAAATTTGGATAATTTGTAAACTTGGACCTTTTCCAGATTCCCCTGCTTTCTTTCCACTTGTTGATTTAATTTTTCCTTGTTTCATTGCTTTGAAAGTTCACAAGTTTTTGGAAAAGCAACCATGAATTCTGCATTCTTTGATACATTTTGGGCTTTTGAATTGGAATTTAAGATAATTAAAAAGGGGAAATGGCAGCTAAGTGTTCGAAGCCAATTCTTTGCAGTGCTAGTTAGGGTCAGATGTACACCTAACCCTGCTTTCATAGAGGAGTTGTTTCAACCTTATTGTTAAATCAATTATTTTAGTTTTAGATAACATTTCCATAGTGTTCAATTCTTTATTCAAGCTGATAGTGAAATGTTGTTGCAGATCTCTCAACTTGTTGATGATCTGCGAGCTGCAAATTTTGTGCCTGATAAATTTGAAGAAGAGGCAGGGAAGGTTGTAAAAGAATTGCTTCAGCGGGGAGCTGCGGGGTCAGATTCAATGGAATACGCTGAAATGAAAGCTATTCAAACTGCAGCATCACGACTGCATATTACGTCTTCAACAGCCATCTTGATAGAAAAAAGATCTATTAAGAAGTTGCTGGAAAAAGTGAGTGACACTGACCAACAAAAGAAAAAGATCTTAAAATATCTTCTGTATCTGTTGAGGAAGTATGCTACCTTGATTATTTGCGAGCAAACGGACAACACAACTGATCAGAACGAAGGAGCATTTGCAGTTAACGACTCTAGTACTAATTTTATGCATGCTCACTCTGTTGACGTGGGATCTCATCTGGAGTATAAGCGGTATGCTGCTGAAGATGATAAGTTAAGTAGAGCTATACCTCCTGAGGAATTTAAGTGCCCCATATCTTCAAGATTGATGTGTGATCCTGTTGTCATTGCTTCTGGACAAACATTTGAAAGGATTTGGATTCAGAAGTGGTTTGATGATGGTAATGATATGTGTCCAAAAACTAAAATGAAACTGGCCCATCTGTCATTGACCCCAAATGCTGTCATGAAGGATCTGATATCAAAATGGTGTATCAAGAATGGAGTCACCCTTCAGTACCCAGGCATGCAACCAGATGATCTTCAATTGTTGGAAACTTCTTCCACTTCCATTACTAGTTTTGGCAGTTCTATAAATGATCTCCACTTTCCAGTGGACATCAGCAGTATATCACTTAGATCTTTAGATACAAGTTATACTTCGGATGTATCACGCAACAAAATTGCAGATGTCCCAAGTTTGATACCAGAGCAGAATGATGATGATCTGTGCCAATATCAATCTCCCAGCAATGGAAGTGGGATGGATTTGGAGTCTCTATCTAGCCTTGCCAAGCTTGATTGGGATTCAAAATGCAAGATGGTTGAAGATATTAAAACTCATTTGGAATGTGATGATCTGGTTTGTCCTTCTATGTCATCCAATAATTCCATTGAACCTCTGATTAATTTTTTGAGCAGTGCTCATGATTTACACGATATAAGAGCAGAGAGAGCTGGATTGCAGTTGTTATTGACATTTCTGAGCAAAAGCAGGTAATGGGTTCTTGCATGTGCAATAGTGGCTACTGTACCATGTTTTATGATATGAGATGTCATTAGTTAGGGATGATTTTATTGTTTTTCTACCTCCAAACTGTGCTGAGAATTTCAATGTGCTTGTCTTTTTTTGGTATTTTCTAATTTCCTTGTCAATACTTTGTCCTGCAAGACTTAAAATACTCCTGATCGGTCTCATGCTCACACAAAGCTTGTGATGTCTATCACAGAACTGCATGTGGTTTTGATAATTTAAAACATGGTTTGGTTGTGTCCATTATCCCTGACCTTATTTATGATCATGAATCTTTTCAAGAGGGGCTTATTTGTGACATTTTCCTTGCTTTGTGAGCTTCTTGCAGGAGTGGCATGCGATACTTAAATGAAGATGCATATAGTCTGTTCTCATTGTTTCTCGACTCAGAAGTAACTAAAGAGGTTCTTGACATTATAGAAGTGTTGTCCGGCCATAGCAGTTGTAGATCTAAGATTGCTGCATCTGGTGCTCTTCCTTCCATTTTAAATATTCTTGACTCAAAAATCACAGAATTCCAGGAACGAGTCATTAAAATTTTGGGGAATCTTTCCTCAAGCACCGATGTTTGTTCCACTTTGGTGTATTTAGAATGCATCCCAAAATTTGTTCCATTCTTACAAGACACCACTCTTGCAAGGCACTGTATACTGGTGTTGAGAAATTTGTGCTGTAACCAAGAGGCTAGGGCTTCTATAACTCAAACTTCAGGATGCATTTCTTCTATTGCTATGTTACTTGAGACTGACAGTTATGAGGATCAAGAGCATGCACTGGCTATTCTCCTTGCATTGTGCTCGCAACGTGTTGAATATTGTCACTTAGTGATGGATAAGTGTGATAATATATTCCCTGCCCTTTTTGATGTATCTGTTAATGGGAGTGAAAAAGGAAAGGCAAGTGCATTGGAATTGCTACGGCTCCTTAGAGATACCAACTGTGGTGATTATGAACAAGAATGCTTTCAATCTGACAATGTGACATCCGAAGATGCTAACTATTCCAAAGACAAGAAGTCTCATAAGTCATTGTTTGGAGTGAAATTGCCAATGTTTTCAAGATCCAGTGCACTAAAAAAGAAGAAATGAAAAAGGGATTTTCTGCTCTCTATCGACATTGGGGTTAACAAATATTCTGCCTGGTAAGATTCTTTCCCCTTCCCTGGGACCGGGAGGGGTTTGCTTACTGGGATTTGGCACTGATATCATCATACTGTAACTAAATGTGGCTAGTTGTTGCATGATTTTGTACGGCTCCAACACTAATTTCTATGATCTGGTTTCTTAGATTTGATTATTTGTATGATGTATCTGCTGTCATTTTCTGGTTGTATAATTCTTAAGAATGTACAGTTTTTGGCTAGTGTTGAAGTACTTTGTACCTTTTCCCGTAATCTTAGGCAGCTTCATATGTGTTATTGGACCTTACATACAAACCAAAACAAATCTAGTGATCTATAGGAAAGGAGACCAAAAGAAGCCTACTAGTTGCCTTCATACTCTTTTAATATGGAAGGTCAGATTTCTGTTTGTCCTTGTAACTCAATCACGATGCTATAATATCCTGCATGATCCCTCACCTAAACTTTCAATCCTTCCACATCACGTCCTAATTTTCCTGAAGAAGCACAAACTGATTCTCTCAATTTGTGTTACTGATTTTTATATGTTGTCAAATATTGGTTGAAAGATCACAAAAAAGAACAGTATGCATTTATAGGGATAATGAAATGACCATGATATATGAGCATGCGGGCATATATGGGGACTACCATGGTAGGCATCATTGCCTTCCACATCCTTTTTCAAGAAGTGCCAGAACAAAAATATTCAGGGGGGACATGTTGGTAAGTCTTGGATCTGCTCATTGTTTTCTGCTAATGCAGTAGACTCTTCTTGCTGATTGTGTCAGCAAATCCTTTTCTTCAGGCTTTGCTCCTACAAGAAGAAAACATTCTCAAACCTGAGAATATCTTTAACTTCTCAATGTTTAGCGGCTTAAGTGTAGCTATGGGGTAGGTATTCAACTTTTCTATAGAGGAGATGATAAATTCATATCTGATAGGCTTTCCTCTCTTTTAAGTTTGCTATTATATTCATATCCGATGATTGGTACGTTACTTCAGTGAGTCGGCAGGGGACAATAGCCAATGGTGAGGTTTGGGAGTGAGATTAATCTCATCAGCGTAAGTTAGTGAGGCGCCTTCATGGCCAAATCCTATGGAGACATGCCCATATGAAGTTGGTGAAGGGCCCTCCCAACAGACCCCCTGGCCCCTACACATGGTCTCCTATCCTACCATCCCTTGTCCTCATACCCATTCTTCAAGCTATTTACATCTAACTAGAGCTGGGCCCTTGGATGTACATGCTTTGTCTTTATCCCTTATTGTTAATGTGCTATTTTCCTCATTTTTTTACCCCATCATTACTAAGCACTGTTAATGCATCATGAAGTTCATACAAGTTAAAAATAACAGCCCATCAATGAAACCATCTCCCATGAAGTATAAGAGTAAATTGGATATCAAGAAACAAACTTAACTAAGCTAAACTGAATATAATCAAAGATGGTTTCTCTTTTCTTGTCAATTTAAAATTCTTATAAAGAAATTCGAGAGTAAAATATTGAATATACTGAACTAACGTAAAAAAATGTATGATTAAAATCGCTTGGGAAAGAGATACTCTTAATTGAATACGTCAAACTAAACATAAGGAAATGTATGGTTAAAATCCCTTGGGAAAGATATTCTTAATAGTATTATAAAAAATCAAATATGGTTGAAATATAACCTAAATAGTCATCTGTAAATGGCTATCCCTCTCTGGTTATATTTGTAGCTGACTTGGTCTCTGCTTTTATTTTTTTTTGAAATAAAAAATTTCAATTCTAAAAAAAGGCTAAATGGTAGTCCTGTTTTTTCCCCAAAACTTAACTAATATAAAATAAATAGTGTATAGTAACTAAAAAGTTGGAATTCTTGTGTACCCTTCATTTTTGGTTCTTTGGGAATAATTTACAAGTATAAAATATGAAAAAGCTTGCTGTCATCTAGGTCTTGTGATGTGTATTTCTTAGATTAAAAAAATAAAGTCTGATTGGTGGGATTTGTTTTTATGCTGCCTAATTTGGCACACATTGTCTGTGGGTTACTCGTATAATCCATTCAATACATCCATGCAAATATTCTTTGCCTGGAAAACAGAGATCTTTCCGTTAACCATCCCCTACCCCTTATCCTCAATGAGCTTCAACCTATACAAAAACTCATATATATACCTGCAAAAATGCACATATTTAACAGGCTTGTCCCTGAATCAGTCACAGGATATTGGAAGGTATCTTTGCAGCTGGTTTCTTTGTAATTTTAGAAAGATTTTTTTGCTTGCTGCCCTTTAGGCTTGACCCAGATTCCAAACTGATTTTGCTTATGTGAAACTTTAAATGGACGCTTAGCTGTAATAGAGACTTGGCCTCTTTTTTTCCTTATCTCTTCCAAAGGAGTAGAGGAAAAGAAAAAGGATTACTTGAAAGTTGAGATCACTTTTTCTCACAAAAGCATGTGACTACAGTTCGTTCTCCATTTACATATTTCCTTCTTAACTATGTTCGAACCAAAAGGAACATTGATGCTTTTCTTATAAGATTTAAGAAATAGAATATAAAAAAATTTAATAAAGCTGGAGTAGTTCAGTCAGTTAAAGCGTACGGTTGTTAAGAGGTTCAACCCATTCCTCTAGCGTTTTTATTCTGCTCATTATTTTTAATTATCTCATTCACCTGGAGGTTCATCAAACAACTTGATTTGATTGTTTGTTTAATGTTTAGAGCTAAAGATTTTTTGAAGTTGAAAACTCACCAAATCTAAAGTTTTGATCTGCATGTGAAGCCTTCAAATATCTCTATTCGTTTGAATCACCTCGACCAAACCTTGAAAAGATTAACCTCAACCATAAACCGAACCTCGAAACCCGTTTTGTAGCGTTTCCGTTTTCTGTTATAAGCGGACATTCTCACATGGCGATTATGTCACTCGGTCCCATTGTCCACAAGCTCTCGTTAATGGCTTACATTCTTTTGTGATTCTTTGCCTCTCTTCTATCCAAATCCTATCCTTTATATATCTCTCCTTGCAAATTCATCTTTGTTAAGTCATCTCTCAATTCATTTTCTTTCGCCTTAGTAATAACTAGTTTCCCTGGAAAAAGAAGTCTTCAAAAAGTTAAGAGAACAAAGCAAAAAAATTCCATTTCTCCTCTTCAGAGACTGACCAGAGATGTTTCCTAGTTTGCACTCCCTGGGAAGCTGTACATATAATGGAATGGACTTGACAGTGCTTGAGAAACAACAAGCAAGGTTGAAATGGCTGCAGCAACAGCAGCAGCAGCAAAACTATGTGGTCCAAAATAATGCTCATGTTGAATTATGTACAAGTTCAGTGCCTCAGTTTCAGGGTTTGCTTGGAAGCAGTTTATGTGGTGGACAGTTGGTTGAGCTGAAAATGCCAGAAGTTTATCTGGGTAGTGATGATTTTCACAAATTTGTGAACTTTTCAGTCGCTGGACCAGAGTTTGGTGTCAGTAAGATGGATTTGGTGATGCCAGAGGCTGCTGCAGATTACAGTATTTCCCGGACTTCTGGCTGTCAGATGACAGCTTTCCAGACTGCTGTTATTAAAGAGGAAGGAGAGGATGTGGTTTTGGAGAAAATGGAGTCTACCACGGGCAGAGAGAGCTTTAACAAGAGAAAAGCAAAGGTTTGTTACTATGTCTTCATTTCAAATTTATCCACTCGGAGTTTTAGCTCCTTAGAAGAATGAATTCTGAACTTTTGAATAAATTTAATCCTTTGAGGCAAAGGTTTTTCTTTGATTAATGAAAGAAACCATGTATGAATTGTGATGAAGATTTTACTTTTAATTTGGTTCAGATGCCTTCAGCACAAAGGGAATTGAAACAAAGTTCTGTGAATTACTAGATCAAAGCAGCTACATATAGTGGTCATTAAGGTATTTAACTTTTGTTGTACAGGCTGTTGCAGACTATAAATGCAAAGACAAGAAGATTAAAGAAGTAGAAGCGGAATCTGAGGTTAAAACAAAATGCAGTGCAGAAGTTTCCAGAAATTCTTCAAAGGAGAAGTCGAAGGCTTCAGAGGTCCAGAAGCCAGATTACATTCATGTAAGGGCACGTCGTGGCCAGGCTACCGACAGTCACAGCTTGGCAGAAAGAGTAAGTAGGAAAATTTTTTGAATTTTGAGTTTTAATTGCTAAGGAAAATTAGTAGCAATCTTAACTGATATGGCCTTTATCTCTCTGTAATGTACAGGCCAGAAGGGAAAAGATCAGTAAGAAGATGAAATGCTTGCAAGATTTAGTCCCTGGTTGCAATAAAATCACAGGCAAAGCTGGAATGCTAGATGAAATAATCAATTATGTTCAATCTCTCCAAAGGCAGGTTGAGGTAAGATAGACATATTGATCTTGTTAGCCTTGATTTTTTTTTTTTGGGTACAAAGGAGTTTGCGGCCTGGGATAGAGGAAGGGATTGCTGATACTAGCATTCAAATTCCTGACCTGATGGATCTTTTTGTTAACTTATCGGCTCCTAATTTAATATACTTGCAGTTTTTGTCTACGAAGCTTGCTGCGCTGAATCCAAGTGTAGAATTCAATGTTGACAACCTACATGTGAAAGAGGTGAGAAAACAGCCTCCTAAACTGTCCTTTCTCACTGATCATTGGAGGAAATGGACAACAAGAAGTTATTTCTTCTATGACTGACTTGTTCTTAAATAATCATGCAATGAAGTTTCCTGCTTATGTCGCCAATTTTCCAGCAGCCGCTAAGTCACCAGCAATGGCCAATTTGGCCTGCCTTCAGTTGAATCCATTGCAAAAAGAAGCTGTAAATTGCATATTAGATGCTACAATGCACCCTCCAGGGACAGCAACTGAAGGAATTGCAAGTGCTTCTATGCTAATCCCAGAACAAGCTCTCGGCTCATCCTGCGTGACTGTAATTATTCCTACTCTATGGTTTTAACTACTCTTATTCCCTGCTTTCATTTATGATTCTGTTATGTCTTATATGGCTCAACATCATATTGCAGCAACTGCAACCATTTTCAACTTGGAACACGGATCCTCAATGTCTTTACAATGTGTACAATATGGGGTTTCATTAAGAATGATCAACTAATTTTTGTCTCCATCAACAGGTAGCTCTAGCAATCTCTCTTTCTCTTATTTTCCCCTCCAATTCCTCTCTGTACATAAACTTTTCTAATGTGAAATGAAATTGATAATCCCCTTCTCCTTCATTACTCATTTTACTTGCAGGATATATTTGTTTTTCCTTTGTTCATTCTTCCAACTAGCAAAAAACATCTGCCATTGCAGTTCCTGCCTGCCTCAATTACCTGCTAAGATTTGTTGTTTACTTTTTTTCTGCAGACACTATCGTATCAGACTTCAAGACGGAATATAATTTTAGATGCTATCATTCACCTTCTTACAGGATTTATTTCAAAGATTCTAATAGTTACCATTCTTGAAATCCTAGCAGCATCAAGATGGAGATGTTATTTTTTTTGGACACTATTCATCATCATACAGGATTTTATTACTATGATTCCAACAAATTACTCAATGAACAAATTCTTGTTCTCCATGTGTAGTCCCACTATTCTAATAAAACATTATCCATCCATATGATAAATCACAAGATTTCCATATTTCCACTGTATAATGACTAGAGATATGTGTCTTGTCTGTATGTTTGCCCAATATAATGAAATATAGATGCGTCTTTCTAGCCTGTGAAAGTGAGGAGAGAAAGTGGAGAGGACCACACTAAAAAGCAGATAAGAGTAGAAAATGACAGAGGAGGCATTCGGTTGGAAACTTCAAATCATTGTGGGGGCAAGAAAGATGATAGAGGTGAGTGAAAAGGGTAGGAGCTAGTGACAGAAATGGCCCATCTGCCGCCCAACTTTTGCCTCATTGGATGAGCTTTGGTAGCTTGCAAAAATGCAAACTCTCCTTTACAGAACAAATAACGAAGACAACTCAATCAGATGGTATAAGATACTAACACTAGGATTACACCTAAATTTCTTGATCATTGCGGGACCGTAAGCTGTTTTCTCATTATGGTCCAAAAACATGGTTCTTCTGTACACCCAAACATGTGGTTCAGTCGTTGGTGCAAATCTTCTGCTAAAAAGTAGGATTCGATTTTTTTTTTTTTTTTAATGAAAAGAACCTGGTTCATCTATCATTTTGCAATATCATTTTCATCACTGTTTACAAATTGATGACATCTGATATGGTTAAAATTTTAATAGTATTATTCTAAAACGCCATGGCTTCAAAAAAATCCAATGCTGGAATAGATAGTCATACAATAATGTTGGTGCCTTCTTTGCCTTTTACCAATTGCATCTTAGTTTTGAACTTATATCCCATTGTACCACAAACATCATCAAACACAACTATTAAATCTTAGAATTTGACTTTAATTATAGGTTTGGCAAAAGCAATGTATTATGCTTAGTAATAAAATTTTCAGAATATTTTCCTCCTCATAACTAAACTGATCCTCTTTATCTATTTGGATGTGTAATAGAAATGATATTTTTTTTCTATTTTATGATTGAATTCTTGAAAGTTTTATAAAATTTCAAGTGGGCCTTAGAAAATTTCAATTTAATAAACTAAAACCAGTTTACAAAAAATGCAAGGGGGTTAACCATAAATTAAAAAGTATTTAATCCTACTATTCACATTCTTCAAAATACTAATTGATTTATGCTCCATTTAAGAGCTTGAGAGTCCAATAAAAAAAGGCACTCTTCATACAATAAAAGCATTCCCACTATCTTATTATTCACTTAAAATAAAAATCCAAAATCAAAGTTAAAAAAACTCTTATAAAGTGAAATCTGCAAAGTTCATAATTAAAAAAAAAATAGTATTGAAATCAACTTATTTAATTGAAATTTATAGATGAATAAATATATATATTTTTATTAATAAGAAGGTAAATATCCATACAAAAACGGTAGAATTAGAACTCACGTCCAAGTGTCTTTCTTAAAATTTCTTAATCATTAAATCAAAAGATGAAAGACTAATAAATATGTTTTCCTATGATATGATTCATATAAATTGTAAGTAATATGAAATTAATTTTTAATAGTATTTTACTTCAATAAGTAGAAGGTAAAAATATCCGAATCCAATGGGTTTTGACCCAATTCGACCTATTAAGGTCTATTTTTTTTTTTTTTTAAATTGGGTATCGGATCGGATCGGATCGGGTGGCGTGAAGAAAAAATCGAGGTCGGGTTAAGGTCGGGTTTTAGGTAAACCCGATCCTATCCGACCCGATATATATATATATAAAAATAATTTTTTTAATTATTTATTTAATTTTATAATTATTTATATATTATATATATTTAATTTTATATTTATATTAAAAATAATATTTTATTAATTTCGGATCGAATCGAGTCAGATATAATTTTATACAATATCGGATCGAATCGAGTTCGAATAAAAATGTAATAAAAAATTATCGAATCAAATCAGAGATCGAGTTTTGTATGTTTGAAGTCGGATCGAATTCGAGACGAGCAAAAACTCACCCAAACCTGACCTGTTGCCATCTCTACTTATAATTAAAAATTATCTTTTTTTACTTCAATAATTCTCGATTAAACTTTTCATATGGTACTACATTTTTTATACCTTTATAATTTTTTTTTTACATGTTATTGATTTATTTATTAAATTTTATCTTTGATTTTCAATTTCATATGTACTTGATCTTCTTTAACAGCAAATTTAAGTGAAGAACTGAGCTTTTCACTTTTTTTTTTTTTTTGGAAATATTAACCAAACTTTCTTAGAAAATGTGTAATTATTTATTGGGGATTTTTGTTGGAATAGGTCAAATTAGGGTTTTCGTTTTCGAAAAATGGCTACAGAGTCTTCAGAGTCAGAAGAAGAAGGAAAGATTACAGGAGGAAATCAACACTTAATTGTCGAAGATGACCTGAGAGAAATGGGCAAAAAAGCAGCTTGGAGTGTCAGCTCTTGTAAAACTGGCAATGGCGTCTCTTCTCTCCGTGACGACAATCTCGAAACCTATTGGCAGTTAAAAACGGAAATCCCTTCTAATATTTTGACTCCAATTTTACTCTCAATTCTCACTTCTTTTAATTTGTTTTGAGTGGTTTTCAGATCAGACGGAGCTCAGCCTCATTTAGTTAACATTCAGTTCCAGAAGAAGGTTAAGTTGCAAGTAGGTAAAAAATTGATTTTGGTTCATTTTAGTCACAAATTTTTCATTTTTATTAATTTTTTATGATGGGTTTAATATAATGTGTTCTTTTTTTTTTTCTTGGTTTTTGAAGCTAGTTGTACTTTATGTGGATTTCAAGCTTGACGAGAGCTACACACCAAGTAAGATCTCTATTCGAGCCGGTGATGGCTTCCATAACTTGAAGGTATAATCTATAATCTTCAGTTTTTTATTTAGAATTGTGGACTCTTACCAGTTTGGTTAATTTGTTTGTGGATGTTTTCAATAGGAGATTAAAACTGTGGAACTTGTCAAGCCTACCGGTTGGGTTTATCTTTCGCTATCCGGAAATGATCCTCGGTCAGTGGCAGAAAATTGTTTCAGTGCAACTGTTTTTAAAGCATCTGGATTTGGTCATGTTTCTTTTGTTGGCTATTGGTGCAATGTCATTAATCATGATCACTTACTTTTGGTTCTTTATTAGCAGATTAAGAGACTATGTCTTTTTCATTTCTTTACAAAAATTTTTGGAAATTCTTCTTTGCTGCATGTTGGTTTAGGTCCCTTGTAATTATTCTAATTATTTCCTCCTTTGGTTGATTGATAATAAAAGGCAACCTCAAAAATGATGATCAACAACTTTCTATTCTAAGCACTGACTAGCATGCATTTATGGTGTGGTTTATCTTGAGTGCGATCAAAGACATAGAATGGACCAAAACAAACAGAGATGTACGAGAATTTTGTATGCTTGCTTCTTAAGTTTCAGCTGTACACTGTTAGTTACGACCATCAGTTTGTAATTGGAGCATAAAAGTGCATATGCTACCTGATTATTGAGGAAAATTACACTCAGCACATGGAGATTTATTTTGGGTTCTGATTAATCAAAATGTCTTGCAGAGAAACTTTTGTCAACACCTTTATGCTGCAAATTGCTGTTCTGTCAAATCACCTTAATGGGAGGGATACTCATGTGCGCCAGATCAAAGTTTATGGGCCTCGACCGTGTGTACAATAGATCCTTACATCCTTCTGTGCATCAGTTTTTTAATCACCAATATTCCAATTTAAACTTTTTTGTTCTATTGCAGGAATCCAATTCCGCACCAACCATTCCAATTTACTTCAAGGGAATTTATAACATACTCCACTGTGAGATAATAAATGTGACATAATAGCTGGCTTGGGGAAGAAAAGGACGTGGAATATGAAATGTGGAATCTTGACTCAGATTGAAGAGAACTAACATGTTGCTGAAAGCAACCATATATTTCTTTAAAACTGAGTGGAGCTGCTTATAGGAATGTAAGTGTATGACGTGATGATGGTTTTATATCTATCAATGTTGATAGGAAGACAAAGAGTTGATATTGTCAGTATTCTCTCGTGCTTGTGCTGATCAGATTTTTAACCAGCTTGGATATTATCCCATTTTAGGTTGTTTTCTTTTTTTTTTTTTTTTCTTCTTCATCTAATGTCTTTTGGACATTTTGTCATATTCGAGAACAGGCGATAGATATTTGGATGTGTCACTCTGCTACAAATTATTGTTTTCGTCGTATGTTGAGGGTTCAAGTTTAAACTTCCAAGGAAAAAGAAAACAACTTGCCACGGTGGTGTGATCAGGTTACCTTGAAATCTTATCATCATTGGAAATATTGAAGCTATGATATAGATTCCACAAGGTGCGAATGCCTATTCCTGAACTTACTGGAAGCACCGGAATAAAAGCTAACCTATCCATTCTAAAGGAGTGAGACTTGAAGGACGCTTAAAAATATTCCAAGACTCGAGATCCGAAATCCAAATCATGTGGTATTCGGCCTTTGCATATGTTATGGTAGCTCGTTTTCTAAAAGGTTGCTGCTCCAGCTATTGCTTTAATAGGGCAGCTAGTTAGGGTGTGGCTTCCATGCAAGTTGGACGTCTTAATTGGGAAGACACTTTCAATTCAAGGGAAATAATTGCAACTACCCTTACTTCATCAAGGAAAAGCTAGCATCAAACCCCTCAAACTTGGTGTTTTCCTATTTGGAATGAGTAACGAGAGCTGAATTTGACCAGGACAGAAGCTAAAGCAGCCAAGTTGGTATGAACGGAGTTTTTGACACGTAAAGAAATGCCTAAGCATTATTTTTCTGCACCAAAGATGATCGGTTCCCTTTTCCTTTTCCTGTATCTTGCACAGAATTCACCTTGCACTTTTGGATCTCAATGCTTCCTTTCAAAGTAACTAGAAAGAATTTCAATTTGCAACATCAATCAAGCGAAAGTGATCCAACATATAGCGTTTGGAATGAGAACCTGAACCTTAAAAAGGAAACATGATTGCTTGTTTGTCCCACTCCTCTTCCTCAGGAAACATCAGTTTGAAAGAAAAGGAAGAATTCCGTTTAGGTCTCAGTGGAACTCAGGTTTAAGCATTACATCAGGCCCTTTGTTTTGAGTTTATTCAGGGCGTGCATGCTTAATACGAAAATAATACAACTAGCTATATGCAATTTGCTGTTAATTTAGTTTTGGTTCTAAGTTGATCATACAAGTCCGATGCATGATCAGAAAAGCCATGCACCGAACGGCTTAGGATCAGCCAGTAAATTCAATACAAGAAAAGCTTCCATTAGAACATAAATACATTACTAAAAATACAGGAAGCATTCTAGAGGAGAATGTCTCTCCTACCAACATACTGTCATTCACAGGCCAGTTTGGGATAATGCTGCTCTGGTGAAGTGCAAAGGCTTGAAAACAAGGAAGAGTGATAATAGTCCATGACAACATCAATGATGCAGCTCCCCAACCAGTGGTGATCATTCACAAGCTGGTTTGGTGTCAAAGCTGCTTAGGCAGATTGCAAAGGCTTGAAAAGCAGATAGAGGGTATCGATAATCCATGGTAAAGATGTCTTTGCCAATTTTTCCAAACTGTAAGATTACCTTCTCTTGCTCTTCAGGTGATACATTATGTGATGGCTCAACAGCTGCAACAAGCTGGAAATTCTTAACAGAGGCCACTGTCACACGCCCCTTGAAGTTAAGGCACCAGCACTGTAGCTGTTCATGCCATCTAGGAGCCTTGTTTTTAAGGGTTAATGGTTCTCCTGTGCCTGGGGAGAATACTGGTGTGGCTGGGAGGCTTGGGGAGCTGGTTTCTATGACCGGTTCCTTTCCTTTTGAACTGGGTAAGGGAGAAAGTTGTTCATCAAAGGATTGTGGGAATGCTGATGGTGTTGGGGCAGTACCTCCTTCCTGAATAGCAGAGACAGGAATTGAGTGCAAAATGCAATGCATTCTCCTTGGTCCTCTTGTTCGCAGAACATTGAGCTCGTAGGTAATGGTACCTATGCTGTAGTTGCAAGCAGGTAATCTTGGAGACACTTGTTTCGAGTGGAATCTACGACTTGATCGGGTACTTGATGGGATTATTGAGTCACATGGAAGTTGACTGTCATATATGGTGAACTTGGTACCCAAAAAATTAGACCTGAAAAGAAATAGAGTATGTCATCAAAGACATGAAGAAAGAATAATCAGACAAGCACAAGAAATCTAATAGTGAGACTTGCCTTAATTTACCAACATAAGTATTGCTGGCCCTAGAAAAATCATCTGCAACCAAAGATATAACAAAGTCTGTGCATGTTGCCCTTCTGATCTTTCTTGCTGCCAACAGCAATTTATCACTCTCTCCTTCAGCTGTAAATCATAGAAGTAACACAAGTGAATACCTCTCAAAAAGTGAGGAAGCTTCATAATAGTGATACCTCCATTGAGGTTTTTAAGTTTTGAATATATTATTTGGCTAAAAGGAAGTAAAAATGCAATATAACTACAAAGCTGAGTAACCCTGATTATGTCACAAAGTTGCTTCCCAAAGGAATGATACACTATGTTTCACAGCTTTCCAATAAAAACAAATAGAGACTGAAATCGTAGGTTATTCAAAGAAACCTAAGATGTAACACTTACTTTTTGATTGGAGCACAATTTTTCAGATAAGAATGACAAGCATAAAGGTATATGAATAATAGTAACTAAGGACATCAGAACAAGATGACTTACAAGGCACCAGACCATAGAACAAAAGATATGTAGAAGTTGCTCTGTCCCTTCTAATATAGCATTGAATTGGAGACTCGCGAGGACCCGGCTGTTCATGAGCACAAACAGAAGATATAAACAAACTTTTAGAACGAAGAAAAAGAAAATAGCCACTCCCATTGTTTATGGACACAGACATGAGAATTATAGTTGAATGTGTGGCAGACTCAGAAGGTTTTGGAAATTTAGACTTAGCTTTACATATATGCATGCATTCAAAAGTTTTTAATATGAAAATTATAAATTCAATTATCAGCCAGCGTTCATTCCATGATAGAAAAGCCAGTGTAGATGTATTGATATAAAAACAATTACATTCTTGACAAAGAGGCACACAACCAATATATCTTTGCAAAGTTTTTTTCCTCCTCTTAATGTAAATTTGGCTAAATCTAAATATGCAGTAGTTTATTCTCAAGGGATCAAAATGACATATTTTCCAATAGGGAAAGTGTATAACCTGCTTTAACGAGATGGGAAATGTGAGCCTTCCACATTGCTCAGGAGTCTTCACAATCTCCTTAGTAATTTCCCTCCAAGACCTACAAACTGCAGCACAAAAAACAACAACAGCTCGAGCAGGCCAAGCTGTCTCACTCTCTTCGACCCTCTGGATGATATCCAAGAGCAATTCAGGCGGTAGATTCGCCCACGGGTTTTGTTCTGCGAATTCAGATTCTGAAGGTGCTTGATCAGGAGCAACATGGGATCTACTCCGGCTACGCCAAAGCTTGCTTTCTCCTCCTCTTTTTGATATGTTCCCAATCCCTTCTTTCATTTCCTTTAACTCCCGCATAATACTCTTTAGTGGCATCTTTTATAAGCATACCAAATCCAATTTCTCAATATTCAACTGCAAATATATAACATATCAAACACCACAAACAATCGTCTTTTCTTCACTATTCAAGTCTCAGCTCAACTACAACCAAATTTACACCAAATCAATCTCCATAAATAAAAATATTGAAACTTTAGTCATAATTAACACCCAGAAAACACAAAATTAAGAAAATCCTAAGTTCAACAACCAATAAATAGACATAAAAAAAGTACAAAATGAATATCTTTTTACCTAAATCATCAACTCTGAAAGCTTAAAACTTGAGATTTTAAGAAGGAAAAAGTGTGGGAACCAGCTTTAGGCCAACCGGTTCAAATCAACCTAGAACTGAACCAACTCAGATCCATCCCCACACTCATAGGGACCCACAACACCGCAAACCAAAAAAAAATCAGATCAGAATGAAATAAATTATTAAAAATGTTTTTTTTTTTTTTGTAAAAACAAGTGCTACCTTTTTTTTATTAGTGGGAACGCTAAGATGGCCACGTCATTGCTAACGCCGGTGCCACCACCACCACCACCACCACCATCAGCACCATCAGTGCCGGCTTTCTAACATCCCCGCCACCTTCGCCACCATCACGACCAGTTTTCTCCCCAGATCAGTCAGCCAAAGCGTTTTCTTTCTTCCTCCTGCTCTTTGAGACAAAAGCTCTTTCACTTAAAACGGATCCAAAGTTGTTTTTTTAGAATAAAGTAATAAAAATAATAATAATAAAGTTAAACATTCACAGTCTTCTCAGTTCACTTCGACTGACGATGAGTTAGTGAAAAATGCGTTGTGATTGAGACACGTGGCAAAAATAAAGTATTTCCGGAGATTCGTCTTTTTCTACCCGCCGGATTTGTATTTGATGGCAGACCTTTTTAAAATGCTATCAATTCCGTTTCCCACTTATGAATTCTTTGCTTCAAAAATATCTATAAACCTTTATATAAAATGAATCCCATGAGTTGTCATAAGAAGACACGTGGTTTTTTTTATAATATATTGTTGTTGTGTCATTTGGATCAAATAAAAAATGTTGGATAAGCTTTTTTTTAATTTCTTTCACCGGTTTGTTTTAGTTTTTATAGGTGTCTTTTATAATATATATATATATATATATGTATATATACATATATATATATTATACCTGTTTTTTAGTTAAACAATTTTATTATTTAAGTTTTCATTTGAGAGTTTTTTAAATGGATTATCATTGACATGTCAAAATTTTTAAAAGAATATGATCTTTTTTATTTTAATTTTTGATCAATTATTTCGTCTACAATTTTTTTTTTTGTTATTGTTGTTTAATTCAGCTATATATATATATATATATATATATAGGGTTTCTTTAGGTTTTTTTTTTTCGTTACATGTTGTTTTTGATGTTTTATTTTTTGTTTGCATATTTTGATTTTTTTATGAAAGTTTGGTTGTTTGATGTTTCATATGTTTGTTTGATATTTTTTAATTGAATTTATTTTTTCTTTAATTGAATGTGCTTATTTTTTGTTTTGGGTTTTGTTGGTTTAGTTTTTTTGTTGTATATTTTATATTAAATGAAGAAGTTTAAGATATAGACTTACCTTATGGGATATGTAAATATATCCATTTATCTATAAAACCTTTATCAATAAAACCCTATAAAAAACTTTTCTTTAAAAGCTCTAGGTTTGACGTGTTAATTGTTTTTTCTTTTATAATTGGTGTAGCTTTTACTGGAATCACAGTCTATTTCAATTTTTTTTTTTTTGCTTCTTTTATAAGTGTTTCATATTTCACTCGAAGCAATATAAAGAACTTTGCTTATAGGTGTCCTTTTTTTGTGCTTTTGTATTTGACAAATGTAGTTGCTATCTATTTTTTAAGTTTCTTCCTTTTGTTTATATTACTAGTTTGAAAAGAAAAGTTGTGGTGTCGAAGACATGCTTATTTGCTATGTGAGTTTTTCCTTTGATTTTACTTTCGTTATATTTTTCAACTATTTTTTGGTATACATTTTTGCTTCTTTTTATTGTTTGATTGAGTGTGAGCTTTGTTTTTTGGGAGTTGTTGTGATGATTTTGATATTATAGATTTAATTTTGTTTAATGAAATTTGATTGTTAAATAGGGTTTGGATTCTGTGGTTGGGATGTTTGCATGTTGTTATGAATGTATTTTTTTTAGAAGATTTTGTCTTTACATGTTGTGATATTGGGTGAAAATTAGTTTTTAGTTATTATTTTCTTTGATGATACTATTTTTTATTGCTGTTGTCATTTTTTTTTTATTTTCATATTCAGATTTTATTTTGTATGTTGTTTAAATGAAGTTATAATTTTGTTTTTGATTGATTTTCTCTTTCTTTTTTTTTATTTCAGGAGTTTTGAAGTTTTTTGGATATTCAATTTTCAGGTTAGTATGAATTGTTTTATGTGTTGTGTATTTGGGTTTATTAAGTTGTATGTAGTGTTTTTTTTTTTTATTAAGTTGTATAAACAACTTCATTTTTTTATAATTATGGTCATTACAGTTGATTTTTTTTAAGATGTTTTTGTTGACAACTGTATTTGTATTGGTATTGGTTTTTTTTTTTAATTTCTTAACATGTTTGTGTTGACAGGTGTATTCTTTATGTTGTTGTTAGAGTAAGTTACATGTAATTGTTTTGAAAATACTTTGCATTTATGTTTGATTAAGTGATAGGTTGATTGCTTTTTTTATTTTGTTAAACTATATTTTTTACTTTGGATTTTTGTACATGATTTTAAATAAAAAAGAATTGAATGTTGGATTTTGAGCACACTAGGTGTTGTATAGAATTTAACTAGAAAGTATAAAAGTGTGATATGTACTATTCAAAATCCTTAACTTTGAATATGAGTTTGATATCATTTTAAGTTAAATGTTATTTAAAAAGGAAATAATTTTTGTTATGTGATGTTGCGAACTATTGTGGGTAACTTGAAATTTTGAGTTCATTATTTTTATTTTTAATATGATTGATCTGTATAAATATTTTTATTTAGTGTTTGCCATATAAAATTTATAAAAAAAAAGAACAAAAATATCAAAGTTAATACTTTTGTATTAAAAGTAAGTTATATATAGTTGTCTTGACAAGTGCCAAAATATCAAAATTTATACTTTTTCCATAGAATGCCTTGATTAAGTTATATGTAGTTGTTTTCAAAGTTGTTTGAATGTGGTTTTGAGTAAAAGATAGGCTGATTGGTATGAACTTGAGAGTTTTTTATTATTATTGAACTTGATAATGTAATATATTTTATTAATTCTCAAACATTTGTAAATATCAGTTTTTTCGTGAAATTGTGCGTTTTGTATGACTTCCAATAAAAAAGAACTACTTTTTAGATCATAAATTCAAAGCGATGTAGAAGGTAAGTGGTTTTTGTGATATAATGGCGAGGACCATAATAGGTGTATCTAGAGTTTTGAGTTGGCTATTCTATTTTTTATATAGTTTATGTATATCCTAGGCTTAGATATTTAAGGGTGTACTTGGTAAATCTTTAGATCCTCAAGGTGTTATCCTTTCGTCTTCTTTTCCATTTGAAAGTTTGTTTTTCCTCTTGAGTAGGAAATAAAAGGGTTCCCGTATTTTTTCTTTCTTTTTTTTCCCCTATCACCAAGGCTTCCACCTTTTCATTTCTATTATCATCCTATTCTCACAATATAATTTTTAAGTGTGCTAATGCACTAAAAAAAATGTTTGTGAATTATATTGAAGACCCTACAATATTGACATTTACTAATATCATGAGTCATGACACTATCTAAGTTTGAGAAGGTGTTCTATTGAATGACACTAAGATAAAATAGTTTTTGCACTTGAATGCTACAAATAAACTTACATTTTTCTATGAATTTGTATATGCAATTGAAAAGCTTAATGTTATGGTATCAAGAGTGAAATGGGAGGAAAAAAGATGTTAAGCATCAATGTGATGCTTTTAACTCTATTTATACTTAGATCATTTTGCTTTTAGTGACAAAGTGATTAATTATATTTTTATATATTTATATTTGTGCAATGATGATAAAGTCATTTGTTTGATTTGTTGCACATGTTGATATGAAATCAATGAACACTAAATGAAGATGAATGATAAAAACTATATTTGTTTTGAAATTATTAGTTTGATTTGTGTAAAGGTATAGTACAATACGAACTTAGCTAGAATCATGAAAACATAGTTTGATTTATTGTCATTGTTTTTTGCAGACGTTATCAAGTGGGAAATGGATTGAGTTTATCCCAATATATTTATTAGAAGTACTACAGTCAATGTAACTACCTCTCACAAGCATCTATTATGATAAGCGAATGGATTCTTTAATCCCAACACAAGAGTAGACATATTTTCTTCTAATGAAGAAAGTTTAATACACACTTCTTTTAATGTTTTTAAACCATGGATCATATCAAATCAACTAATTGTTGCACCTTCTACAGCTAATATATCTAACTTGAAAGTTTTGTATGGTTTTGAATTATTTGCTTAGGCACACTATGGATCCTTCATCTACTCAACATTTTCTAAGGTAGCTTTAGCATGAACATGTAATGAATCTATTAAAAAAAATTTTTGGATTAATGCAAGGCATTTTTGTATGTGAAGAAAATCTATAAAGAAGACAAATCACAACTGCAATTAAAGATGAATTATGCTGGGAATAACACTTTATTAAGTGAGTCTTTGCCTAGTAGAAATCTTTAAAAAACAAAAAATTTTGTACATGACATTTGATGTGCATATCTTAATTTGTTATTTTAAGTTTATAATGTTTTGATGAGAATTTTCAATTTATTCTGCAATTGTAACGAAAAGATAGCAGTGGACCTCCAAGGCTAATGAGGCATTAATGATGAAATGAATGGTTGAGAATTTGATAGTAATAATTTAGTGAATGTGTTTTTTCTTTTCATTGGTTGAATATAAACCAACTTTTCAAGCTTCTGTTTCACTTTCATATGAAAAACATCAATATAATTAAAACTATATATGTTTTCATGTGATTATAGTTGCATGGTAGTTAGCATGACATGGAATTCTAAAGAAAAGAAATCAGTACTTCAAGGGCTATAGAGGGTTCTTTCTTCTTCGAATTTGATACTTTTTGAAAAAGTTAAATAAAGAAGAACATGGAGCCAACAAACTAGAAGTTTTTGGAGAAAATGGTTTCACAAAGAGCTTTGCAAATGAGTAGTTCATTTTCATGCCGAATTTATGTGGTGGGTTTTCTCTATAGAGTTTGTCTGACTTATTTGTTCTTGGCTGTTCTTACTTCACTTGGTATTTTTGGGTTTGAAGGGATTTCATTTTCATTCACATAAATGGGGATTTCTCTATGGAATTCAAGTTCAAAAACAATTAGTAAGTTAGATTACTTCTTAGTTATATTTCTTCATAGGTCATTATTGTTTAAATGTAGGTTGTAACTATAAAATTTATCTTTGTTCTTAGCTTCTGGTTATCTTAAATATTAATTTGTATAGAAATATGCAGTGTTAATGAGACATTTTATTATCTTTTGTAAATAATGAAGATGGTACTTAAGATGGAAGTTTGAAAATTTAGATCAAATAGATGCAGGATTAGAGATGAATATTGCTAGGAATAACACTTCATTAAGTGTTTTAGCCTAAATGAAATCCTTAAAAAAAGAGTGTTTTATACATGAAATTTAAAGTGCATGTCTAAATTTGTTATTTTGAGCTTACAATGTTTTTGTTTTTATTTTTTTAATAATTTTAAAATTAAATTTTCAATAAAATTTCTCTCCACATAAAAAAAAATTATATGCTTTAAGCTAATATCTACCTTGTGGAGAGAATAGTTTTAAGTTCATAAAACATATATATCACAGGTAAGGATGATAAATTTACTAAAAA